CTCACAGGCAACAGCTGGAAGCATGAGTACATAGTTGTGACAATTTACTGAAAATTTTTGGAAGGGTATCATGATACCCTGCCATATTTACTGGAATAAGTTGTACAGTTTGAGGCCTTAATTCATACAGTAGGCAACTAGTTGCTAGCAAGTTGTGTGGTTAGCCACTTTGATCTTGTAAGCAACATGTTGCCAAGAATAGAAAGATGTTCTATTTTTGGGAACAAGTTGCCTCGTGTATGAAGGGCCTTACAATGTAGAAGCTAGTACACAATTGTAAGTCAGTCAATACATCAGTAGAGCCTTCTGCATTACATGTACCAGTCAGGCTTTCATACAGAAATTTTTTGTGGGGGGGGGAACTCTGAACTGTGCTAGCTTCTCAGTCTGCATATTGTTATTGTTATTGCTTCATTGAGCATGTGCAATTTTGTGAAAACTTACCAATATAGACTTTAATGAAATTTTAAATGTTTTAAAAGAAAAAATCATAGAATTCAGTTGTAAATGATATATCAATGGTGTGACAATGAGGATAATTGGGGCGGAACCTAATGTGAGGGGGGAAATCCCCAGTGCCCCCCTCTCTATGAAACCCTGCCAGTAGAATTCTATTAGGACAAAATGTATAAAAGTCATCAATATTAAGTACATGTACATGTATGTATCAGCAATGTAAGACATTGAGGGGCAAAGGTCTTACACTACTGATACTCACCAAGAAACCATGGTTTATGTTACATATGAGCATAACATACTGTAGCTATATAACATGTGCTATAATACTTGTATAATTATCATTAGCTGTCACTATTTTATTAGATTAAAAACCTTAATAAGCTTTCACTGTACACTTATAATTACTATTATTATATTTCAGTTTCAATATCTTGTAATGTATTCTTATGCCACAGGAGAACCTGGTGTACTTTCAAGAGGAGCTCAAAGATACTAAACAGATCCTCTCCAATATTCTTGGTTCTGCCCCACAGCCGGGGGGCCCTCCCACGGCCCCTCAACACGCAGAGCCAGAGCTGGTCATTGTACCTTCTACCAAACCATCAGCCCCGCCCACTAGTAGCTCCGTTATTACTGTTGCCCCGCCCACAAGCCCATTAAAGTCAGTATTAATTAGGTATTGTTTAATTATCAGTACTATTATATGTGTATGTGACAAAATTTGATAGTTGCTTTAAAATTGGTCGAAAATTGAAAATGAGAAAATTCTCAATTTTTCTTACATTTTCTGATGCATATGCCATATAGCCAGAAAGTTTCATTGCAAAAAAACTTTCATGGTTTGGTGGCTCCCAGTCTATTTGTGGTTCTTATTTTTGTGGATCATCAATGAAGCACCCATGCTTCTCATTCCAATCCAAACCACAAAAACCATAAAAGTTTTTGGCCTTACATTCATATGTTGTGTAGAAAGTTTGAGTTGATTCTGATTAGATTTGGATTTATTATAAATTTTTAAAGTTGCTTTAATATACACATGTAATGTAATGGCCAAATTTTGTATGTAAAAATGACTAGGAGAGAATTATCCATTAATTCATAGAAAGTGTTAAGTAAATAGTTTAAAAGTAACATGTATTATCAAGAGTAGATAAGGGAAGGAGAGTGTCCAACAGCCTTATAGTATCTGCTGCATCACTGCGTATAGTAAAGTAGCACCCTCGTTAGCATCTCCTTTGCTCATTTTAATAATAGGAGTGGTTTTAATAACTTGAATGCAATTTGCATGCATGACAGGAAACCATGCCTTTCAAACCACGCCCATCACACCCACGATTGTATAAATGGATGACAGCGGTGAAGAAAGCAACACAGAAATGGAAAGCCCCAATGATGATGTAGTTGCAGAGCGTAGAAGAAAAAAGAAGGGCATCTATCCAGTAAATGAGGACAACACTGATCAAGAGCCTGCACCTAAAAGAGGAAGAAACTCTAGAAAGAAGAAAGCAAAGCCATCCAAACAGGGTGACCAAGATGGAAAGCAAAGCTGCTCCTAGTATTCAGAATCATACTTTGCCACAATAAAACATTCTTCTTTCTTTACTAAGTCATACAACTCATGTATCACAACAGTTGTTGGGTTAGAAGCAGAGGCAACAGCTCAAAGTGAAGGTTCCATCACTAATAATTGACTCTTTGCACTCAAATCTTTGCGTGTGCATACGTATGCGCACGCGTAAACAATTGACCACGCCCATTAATTATTAACTAGAATCTGTAAATTGGACTAATTTGTAAAAATAGTAATTCCTTGCATAACAAAGCAAACGGAGTACGCAGTGATGCAGCAGATACTATAAGGCTGTTGGACACTCTCCTTCCCTTATCTACTCTTGGTATTATTGAAGTTGATATTTTCTCTATTTTTAACCCTTTCAGAGCTAGTGCTAATCTTGTGAGTATGTCGGCTCCACCCGCTACAATACATGAGCCTCCGAGTATCCCGCCCACTCGTATTGAGACCATACCTAATATAACGGCAGGAAATATGGCGTCATCACGTAAGAGACCAAGGGACCTCTTTGTGGAGGGAGAGGAAGGAAGACAAGTAATTAATAACTTATTAATATTAATATAGTTGATTAATTGTTAGTTTTGAAAAAGGCCCAAGGCTATAGCCCATGGTTTTTTTTTTCAAAAATCGGCTCCAAAATCACCCAAAATTTTTATTACATTTTCTGATACATACTGATGTCCTTATGCTGTGTAGCAAGTTTGAGCTGATTCCGACTTCAATTTTTGAAGTTACAGCCATTTTTTAGAATTGGTTGATTTTTGAAAAATACCCAAGGCTATATAGCCCATGGTTTTTTCCAAAAAATGGCTCCGAAATCACCCCAAATTTTTATTACATTTTCTGATACATATTGATATCCTTATGCTGTTTAGAAAGTTTGAGCTGATTCAGACTTCAATTTTTCAAGTTATGGACATTTTTTAGAATTGGCCGATTTTTAAAAAATACCCTGTACTATAGCCCATAGTTTTTTCCAAAAAATTACACAGAAGTCACCTCCCAATTTTTATCCCATTTCTTGTCATTAGGTGTATGCTAATAAAAGGATTCCTAAGCCGATACCAACTGCTACTCTAACTCCAACCAGTTCACATGATCAACAACAAGTAGCAGTGGAGCCACACCCATCCCGTGTGACCCCGCCTACTAGCTCCGCCCCTTCATCAGCTACACTACCAACTCCTCATGCTCATTACTCTCGTCCTTCTCCTACAGTCACTGCTGAGACCACACCTCTTAGAGAAGTATCACCAAGTAATATAAAATGATATACCGTACAAGATGATTTATTGGGAAGGAATTAATATTGCCGATTGGTGGTTTTATGAAAGAATCGCCAATATAAAATCTGCCATTTTGTTTCAATTTGAGCATGCTCAATGGCACGTGGCACAAAATTGCCAATATAAAATTGACCAATTAACTTTTCACAAGAAAATTCACTAAATATTACTCTCACCAATAAATCATCTTGTATGGTAATTTAAATATTAATTACATGTACAGTTAATTAACATTGGTCAATGTATTTATTTTATAATTACAATATTGTTTCTCCTACTGTAGGTTTGACGGTTGCTAATCATCAAAGATTATTAAATTTAATAAAAGACGATTGGAACTGCCTAGATCTGGTACATGTTATACATGTACATGTATACATTTAAATGACATTTAGTTATAAAATTAATATTGCTATTATGTGTACATATGCCCTGCATGGTAATTTTCAAAAAATGTACATGTACATGTACATGTGTACATGCTATTTAACTCTATTGCTCTTAAAGTTACCTGTACAAAATATGTACTGTATAGCAGGAAGTTTTGGAGGGAATAAAATTTGATTAATTGCTAAATTTTGGTGATTGGTGGATTTAATTTGGCAAATTTGTGGCCACATGCCATTGAGCATGCATATAATGGCTTAAAATAACGAATTTTTATTTTGGCGAATGCTATCAAGACGTCAATTTGCCAAATATAATTTCCTCCAAAATTTTCCACTATACGGTATATTGTCAATTTTTATCTTCCTCTCCCTCTCCCTCTCTCTCTCCTTCAGATGATGACTACTCTAGAGGGTATGGTGTCAAAGACCCAGCGATCATTAATGACACTAAAGGAAAGAATACACTTGGTATCAACACTGACCTCAGCTCATAATATGTACAAACAATTTGAAGTAATTTACACACACACACACACACACACACACACACACACACACAGAATGTAATTTCATGCATAATTATAAAGTCTGCATGTAGTGCACCACACATACACATGTAGTACTATGCTGTGTATATTATACTTGTAGTCTTTTAAATGGCCGTAGCTTTAAAATTTTGAGCTCAGAATCGACTCAAACTTTTTACACAGCATAAGGACATTAATATGCATCAGAAAATGGGTGATTTTGTAGCCATTTTTGTAAAAAAAAATCATGGGCTATAGTAGAGGATTAACAGGATATCTCCAATAATACAAATGTGTATATGTAATGTGAATATTTTTTGAAATCCTCCTCTTTCTTTCTCTTCATTAGCAAGAACAAGAGCCCATTATACAGCAGAGGATACAACAAGCAGTTGATGAAGTGAAGACAAAGTCATCAGAAGACAAACAGAAAGTATTAATGGACGCCAGCAGACAATTGAGGGAAGCACTGAAAGAAGCTAATGCACAATCAAACTCAAAAGAAGTAAAGAAAGAGAGAGAGAGGGAGGGAGAGAGGAAGGGTTAGAATAGGAATTGTTTAAGTATGTAGTACAGACTAGCCTCTATATAATGGACACTTTGGATCAAGAAAATGTCTCTGTTATACAGAGGTGTCCTTTATGTGGAGGTTATTTTATACAGTAAGGAATGTAATTGGTACACTAGGTGCTGTCCGT